AGATGACAACAATGTACTGTCGAGGGCATCCGAAACAGAGATGCTGTCAGTTTCTGGAAATAGGGTGAACCAGGTCCACATCAGCAACAGGTTCTTTCTTAACGAATCAATCCCCCAAGATCAGATTTCATAGCAAAACTGCATCTTCTTGCTCTTAGTTGTCTAGGAGGGCTTAATGGTACTTGTACATCTGCAGTGCTAGATGCACGTAGCACCATTTTATTCGCTACAGCCTCCTTGCGCTCATCACGAACGACGTTTGAGAAGCTGGTATCTTTATATGCTATAGGGTACCAGGTCAAATACAATGTGGCCGTGATCTGTTTAACTTTCGTCTGGGCAACTACGAGCATGGGGCAGTGTAATACATCGCGATAACTTTCCCCGGACGAATCATTCATTATTTGACAAGCTCGGGTGTACGAACAGTTTATTAAATTCACTCTTTTTTGTTTATTAGTACTTGAACAAGAAAAAGATGATTCATCGAGTCAAAAAGATGAATATTATGTACATTAGAGTACAGATGACAGTAGATGGTAATTACAGGGTACAGATAGCATGGTTGATCACATATAGAATAGGTGAGAAATATCAAAGAGATGTGCCAAAACAAACTTCGAACAAAACCGTCTGTGCATCGTTTACACGTTCAGTGTGTCTGGAAGAGCGACCTGACGCGAGAATGAAATAACAACGATTGAGTGGTTTGCGGCAGGTCATTCTAATACATCTATCTATCTATCCATCCATCTACCTATTTATCTCTGGCTGATTTAAACCGTGCCAACCATTGGCGATGATTCTGTGGTCACGCACGATATCAGACCTACCTGATCAATAATAATAAAAAGTGTAAAACGTATGCCACTCATTTGCAACACGCTTCAGCTTGCTTTAGGGACAGAAGAAGTAAACCCTAAGTACACGGTGAAAAGAAGTGTACAACTTGTGCATTGATTTCAAAACCACTGGAGGCTCTCCGAACTTTAGAACTCAAGCATTGTCACTGGTGGTTAATGGTGTTAATAGTTATGTGAATACTATTCAGAGGTATTTGACTCGATTTGATGTATTAGTTGAAGTATTTTCGATATGCAAGCCAAACCGTTCTAAGAGTCTTCAAAAAAAGCCGTGACTGCGTAGAACCGTTGGACCATGATCCTAAGGCCCAAACAATTGCCACCGGATTACGTCGTTCAGAAGGAGAGTAGCGGCTTCGCATTTCAATCGCAGTAGCGAGCACAGAAAAACAAACACGCCGCCAAAAACCGGAACAGACTGCATCCAATCTGAAACCGGCCATTATCATTACATGGACATGAATCTACCTCGCTTGGAGGATGAGCACCTTCAAAGGCAGCAACAAAAAATAAAAGTTCTCTCCGCACGGTCCACGCTTTAAAGAAACACTTACCCCACAGCTTCGGTGCGACTTATTCAACGGTACTTGAGAGCAAAGCTGGTTAAAAGTCACCATCGAACAAGGAAAACCATTACAATGCCAACAGTCGTCGAGGAAGCGTCGACTGGGATGGACTGGACTGAAATGGACTAGACTGGACCGAGGAGGAACGATGAAAAACGCAAGCGTGGCGATCAATAGCTGTAGTGCTGTACGCATGACCTGATTTAGCGATTTAGAGTTTAGTGACTCGGTTCTTGTCGCGTGTCTTCGCGTGATCCCGCTTCCTCTTCCACCTTTCCAACATGAAACAAACCGATACCAAACGCCACAAATGGCAACATTTCAAATTAGATCAGATCGGATCAGATCGAAGTCGTTCGTGGTGTCCTATAAGCTGACCAATAAACTTGTTTACGTCGCCACCGCTACGTCGAAGTTTTCTTTCTATTGAGAGAAATCGATCGCTCGTGCAGACTGCAACCGCGAATACAAGCTCAAACGGACGAACCTT